TGTAGTGCGCGAAATACTGATTGGGCTAACTTTTTGTTGTAACTAAGTTTTTCAAACAACAATTCCCAGTTACAGCTATCGAAAACCTTATTTTCATCTAAACTACAAATATATATTAATGAGTTGTTATTATTGTTATATTTAATCTTTCACTTAAAAGGATTTCTGCATGAAGAGTGGAGCGATTGTACTTGAAACCAAATTAATGAAAGTGGCTATTTGATATTTCCAGACATTTTTCCATAATAATTTATTTAAAGAACTTAGTCAAAATAGACATAATCCTAATTCCGCAATAGTTATCGGGATTATCAAGAGATTTTTTAATAGGATTTTACTATTGAAACAATTATGGATGTTGATAGATACTCCGGCACCTCGGCCTAAGGGAGGTGAATTAACATAAAAAATAAAAAAATCTGATGCTTTAAAAATTTGCTTTATTGCGATAAAAATTTGCGATATTCTAAAGTTAAAGTTAGGCAAAAACGAGCTCGAGTCTTTGTGCGCACATACGTTTTGTAGTAAATATTGGCTTTATTGTAACGCCAACTCTTTCTTGCAGGTTGGTTATAAAATATATCTTTTAATTTGATTGAAAAGTGCATCAAAAAATTTTTCCAACAATACCAAATATGTTGCTTTTTTTTTGTTTGTTTTTTTGTTTTTAACTTTTTAACAAAATATCAACTAAAGCATAAATACAGTTTTTGTTGAAAAAAACCTGGTTTCCTGCCTTAGTACACTTGAGAATCGGTACCATAGTTATATAAATTACTGGATACGGTATAGGCATGCCCAGCCTAATAATTTTAGAAAAAATTTTGAAGCTGCTCTTCCGTTGAAAAAGTGATGTAGAGTGAGGCATTAACGAATTATCTATATTATATAAAAATATACATTCACACATATAACTTATGTGTGTATGTATGTTACATACATACATGACAATGATGTATACATAATATATAATTTTTGGTCTTAAGGCTAGGCCAAGGACTAATAACTATGTATATATGCATATACATAGTTGTTAGTCCTTGGCCTTGCCTTAAGGCCAAAATTAAAAGCCCTGGCCTTGGACTTGGTCTTGAAACTGTTGACCTTGGTCTTAGCCTTCGTTTGTTTTAACCTAGGTCTTCAAAAATAAAACAACATAAAATTAAAGAATTAAAACTTTTTACTCTTTATTTTTATATATTTTTATCTTTGATATAAATCTACAAATATGTTTTCTTGTTGGCTTGCATAACATTGGTTTATTTTTACAATGTATGGTTTATTGTCACAGCAATTGTTACCTAAATAATTGACCATAACGTTAGACAAAATTTTAAGTCTTTGGTCTTGAAAGTGTTTGCATAAGCCTTGGCCTTGAAACTTTAATTCTTGGCCTTGACCGTAAAACACTTGGCCTCGTAACTTTTAGCCTTAGCCTTGGCCTTGTAACATGTAGCCTTTGATATGTGGTTGACGATTTACAAGCTGTAGCTTGTAAATCGTCAATCACATTTTAAAGCATAATTTTTGTTGCATTAAGCATCTAAAAAGTTATCTTTTTAATTTTTTAAGAATTCAGAACAAAAAAATAACTTCTTGATCACAGCAGATTATTCAAACCTTTAATCTCTTTATTAAATCTTTTTTCAGAATTGCACTTATACTTTTTCTTATTTACATTTTTTAAGGATTCGTTTAGTGTAATTAATTTTAGGTTTCTGAATATTTTTACTTATGGCTGGTTTTAAATATCGAAAATTTAATGTTATACCATATTTTTAGCAAATAAAAATTGTTATTATAGCATAAGGTCTTAAATATTTTTGTAAACAGTAACCATTTATTTTGCTTTTAAAAAAATAAATATAACTTGCTGAAGAAACAATAAAATTATTTTGCTTGGTCTACCTGACTTTAGAGGATATCTATTTAAAAATGATTAGCTAAGATTTTTTATTTATACTTAGGGCCAACAACACCGGAGAGTGGGGGCACGTGACCCCTCACTTTTTTTCTAAAAGACCTTTTTTTTTTTTGGGGAAAAATCTGAAAAATCTTGATATAAAAGACTTTTTCACAAGTTGATGATTGTGCCCCCCCCCACTTCAAAACTCGTCTCGTCGACCCTGATACTTTTCTTCTAAAATCTACACAGAAAATTATATATATATATATATATATATATATATATATATATATATATATATATATATATATATATATATATATATATATATATATATATATATATATGTATATATATATATATATATATATATATATATATATATATATATATATATATATATATATATATATATATATATATATATATAGGTTTATATATACATATACCCATATATACAATTTGTTTATGAACTATAATCCTACCTATAAAAATATCATCAGGTCCCTTCAGCAGATTTATCTGTACATCCAAAAGCACATTTCAATACTATAGTATTGAAATGTGCTTTTGGATGTACAGATAAATCTGTTTAAAGACTTGATACTATAGTATCAAGTCTTTAAGCATATAGTACACAAACATGTATGTATATTATACATAAATATATTATACATATATGTAGATGTATATTTTATACTTAAAGTTAATCTTCTATAAACTTCATATAAACCTTGCAATATAAAACCATATACGAATTATATACTAAGTTAATTCGTGGCATACTAATTCAAAAAAATAATTACAAGTTCTATGAAACGCAAAATAATACTTGAAATCAAAATATAAAATGTAAATAGTATTTATGTTGTTCTTAACTAAATTTGCTTTTTTTGCCTCACTTACATCATCATGGTAAAGTTTGCCCGGTTTCAATTTTTTCTGCCTATGCCGTATCCATTAATCTATATATCTATGATCGGTACCTACATTTTTTTCAAAGTTTTCTGTGTCACGGCCTGTTACTTGAAGAACGCCAGGAGAACAGCAGTTGAAATGAGTATTTTATTTGCGCGCTCAAACGAATAGAATTTCGTTCAATCAGAGCCAATGACACTTCCCTCCCCCCCCTTCCCCACTTTTTTGTAAAGGACCTTTTTTTTTTTAAAGAAATTTCTAGATATAGAGGACTTTTTGAAAAATTGACGATTGTGCCCCTCCACTTCGAAACCCGTGTCGTCGGCCCTGTCTATTGCGGTTGAAATTCGTATATTTTATTAATAAACTTGAGAAACTCCTAAAAAAATTTTATTACTAGATTAGGAAAATAGAACTCCTAAAATAAGAAACTTTCTAGTACTAGCCCATTTGCTTGGTTTCTTATATAAAAAATAATGTATTGTTACAAAAAAAAATTAAAAAAAAAAATGAACATTGGCTTTCCGTAACCGTAGTGGATCTACGTAAAAGTTATGAAAGATTTACCGAGGAATTAAGCGTGTCACCTTAGGCATAACTTTACGTTAATAAACCAGTAAAAGATAAATCTTAGGGATTTATTTGAACTTTTTATTTTTGTACAAAATAATATGTCACATCAGTGGGATTTTGATTTTCATATAGATGTATTTTCCAATAAGTTACCTTTTGAGATCATCAACATAATTCCAATAGGAAGCAGAGGAAAAAACAAGCTGAACATTCCACATAACTTATTAGTTATTCCAAGGCTCGATAAAAAAGTTAGTGGAAGTGGAAGGGGAAGGCAATTACAAACAAATAAAGACTTACCTCCTATTAAAGAACCTTGCAATTTATCATATATGTCAGGTTTTGCCAAAGCTGATACTGGAAACAAATTGAATGTGGCAAGTGAATTAGAATATCCTTCCCTTCAATCTACAACTCGACAAAGTAACACAACTTATGCTCAAAAGAAAGATTTAATTTTACCACAAAAACAAAAAAAAGTCTCTAAGTCAACTGGTCCAGTTTCAAAAGAAATTAAAAATGAAAATTTTAATTTACTTAACTTAAATAATGTTCCTAATGAAATTAAGCAAATTGAAAAAGTTGGAGAGAATAATGATGTTTTGTTTAAAGGCGAAAAACAACAAGTAGATTTATTGTTTAAAGAAGGCAATAACAACAAAAACTTTCAAATACATAAAGATGAATTGAAATTAACTTCCAAAGAAACTGACATTCACTCAGAAATTTTGTTTAAAGAAAATAATTCTGAATATATTTCTAGTTCTCTAAACCAAGTAGAGTTAGAGTTTAATAACATTGAGAAAAAATTATTGATAAATAAAGTTGAAAGTCTTGAATCAAATATATTTAAAAGCAATGGCCCCATTAATCATGAATGTTTAAATGATAAAAATGAAACTTCAAAAAACGATATTCTAAATATTGATTTTTTAAAATCACTTTTAAACCCAGAATGTTATGTTCTTGTTGAAAACTTATCTCAAAATATAAATGAAGACGATTTTAAAAAAGATATAAATGTTTTTGGTGAAGCTGAATCCTTTTTTTTTCAACAAATAAATAATTCTGAGAAAGCTGTTCTTATTAAAATGAACCAAATGAATGACTGTGATTTAGTTTTTTCTGGTTTAGATGGCTCAATGAATGAAAACAAAAAAAGAACAAGTGTTCGTAAAGTTGTTGATATATTAAATGTTTAAAGCTTTAAAATTTTAATATTTAGTAATTTTTAGTTAGTTGTAATCTTTTTATACTTTAATTAAAAAAGAAAATTTTGTAGTTACATTATATTTTTATGCCTTTAAAACTGATAATGTGCATTGCACCATATATTTTATGTTAGATTATAGAAAGTATATGTATCATACATATTGTATTGATTGTAGTGTGAAATCTTATCAAAAAGAAGCATTTGAAAGCATTTTTGTTTAAAAATAATAATTAATAATAAGCCACACAACATTTTTTTTGCTCAATGTTATAGAGTACTAAAAGATTTTTGACGGGGTTCTCTCCACTGTTAATAAATTTTTTAAGGAAGAGTGCCTTCTTCCCTCCCATTGTAAAAATCCGCCTCTATTTTAATGGTATTATGTATTCTTCATTTTTAAAACTTAAAGATATTCACTTTAGCTTATAATGTAGTATGATTAGCGAATCATGCAATAAATATGATAGAACAAATGATTTGGTATTTAAAGAATATAAACGATACAAGAAGCGAAAACCTCCTCCTGATTTTAGTGAAGTAATTGACTTTCATCAGGCAGAAAAATATATATCTTTAATTAAAGAGTCTTATGTAGATAGTACTATTCCAGAAAATGTTTTTTGCAAGGTTGGCTTAAAGCATCCAAAAAACTGGAAAGTATATGAGTTGCTAACTTGTCCAGGTTTTATCGTTATACAAAATCCATTTATATGTTATGGTGCACAAAGTCATTGGATTAAGCAAGCTTTAACAGAGTATACAAAAAAACCATATCCATGTAATTTAGATGCTTTGATGGCTTTGGATAAAGATAAAACAGTGTGGGACATCAGTCAAGAGTAAGAATTATATTTTATATAATATTCTAAAATTGATTGTAATGTTAATTTTAGCAACCACAATATTACATTACTTATGAGTTCTTTTTCAGAAAATCTGTGGAAAACAACTTTATCAATCAGTTAAGATGGACACACATGGGATACCATTTTGATTATAACATTGTTGACTATAAAGCTAAGGAGTATTATGGATTTCCAAAAGATCTTGCTGAACTTACAGTTACTATTGCAGATGTGTTTAAGTTTCAAAACTATATTGCTGAGACAGGTATAATTAATTATTATCCAGAAGGCAGTAGTATGGGTGGACACACTGACCATTATGAGGAGGAACTATCGCAACCACTGATATCATATAGTTTTGGACAAGCAGCCGTTTTTTTAATTGGTGGCCCTACAAGAGATATAAAACCTGAAGGTATTTGTTTTTAGTTTTTCAATTTTATTTTGTAAGCAATTTTACTGATAATTGTTCATTAATTCGAAATTAACAATTTCATTAATTAAAAACTATTATGAAGTATTGCTAGCATAATTATATGAAATAAAATTGTTATGCTTTGTTTTACATATTGATTTGTTACTCATTCTAGCATATAGGTATTCTCCATATCTTTTGCATATGTTAAAATTACAACTTAAATTGGGAAATTACCTTTAAAATAAATTAAATTAAATATAGATAATAATGAGAATAAAGCTTTAATAAACAGTGTTCAGTTGTATTTAATATTTGAAAAGATTATTTTATATATATTTATGTATATATATATATATATATATATATATATATATATATATATATATATATATATATATATATATATATATATATATATATATATATATATATATATTTATGTATATATATATATATATATATATATATATATATATATATATATATATATATATATATATATATATATATATATATATATATATATATATATATACACACACTTACACGTGTGTATATATATACACACACACACACACACATATATATACCCTCATGGACTTGTTGAAACAACTTATAATCAGTTGCACCCATTGAATATGTTGTAAGGCAGGTTGGGGGGGTGTTGGTTTCCAATAATGCGCTCAACCCTCAATAATTGAAAAATAGGGTTATTTTAAAATGCTGCCATTTTTGTTGTGAATGCAACAAGTAAAGAATGTTTGCATTTTCAGATATTTGGATCTTATGGTCTTAATTGCTGTTAAGCTTAGATCAATACAAAGTGTTAGAGAAAATTATGAGCATTTCAAAATGGCTGAAAATGTGACTTTTTTGGCGAATGGACAATACATTTTTAGATATATTTCAGTTCTAAACAGCAACAATCGGCTTATTTTTTGTCTATTTGTTGCAGATAATAGTAGCTAATCAGAAAACTAAACTGTAAGGACTTGTTGATGAATAGAAAACTACTACAGTTAACTTCATTTTGGCCTTTTTTAGCATTTTTTAATTTTTTTTCAAAGTTGAGGAGGCTATAAATTTTTTCTAATATGGTACAAGTTAGCAAAAACCAGTATTTTTAACACAGAACTACCCAGAAAACACTTCTAGAAAAAATAAGCCACTTGTTGAAAGATAAAAAAAAGTTGTGAGGCATTAAAGTAGTCTGTTTTTACAATTCTTAAATCGAGGAAGACTACTGCGCATTGTTTATGAAGCTATATTTTCTGAACCGTTGTACTTGGAAGTCTGAAATTTCAATTTTTTAGTCGTTTTGAGAACATTTAAGTTTATGTACGTAACAAAAATAGCAAGATTTATTTCAATAATTTGTTTTACAAGAATAATTTGTTTTAGGGACATCCATGGAAACATAATAAACTTGAATGTTTTTAAAACATTTTGCAGAAGAATAAAAAGAATATTCATGAACACTAAAAAACCGAATTTACAAACAGACTAATTCTATTGGTTCAAAAAATACGCTGACTAAGCAAAATAAAGTTCTAGAGTATGCTGTTGAGATGTTTTAGTAATTCACAATTTGTTGCGTTTTGAGATATCTAGCATAAATTTTTTTAAGAATATATTATCAAATGACTATTACTTTAATATTATGGCTCATTCTTGGAGCCAAATCTGTAAAGCTGTAAATCTTTTTAGCTATTATCATTTGTTTACAAAAATAAATGTTTTATATATTTTTTAAATTGTCAAAATTTTAAAAGTTAATTACAAATTATAGGTTTTATTAGTATATTCTTATTTTTTATAACTCTTCCTAGTGCTTGGTTTAATTAATTGTTTGTTAGATTTGTCGAAACAACTTGCATCAAAATGTAAAGAACATACTCGTGAATCATCGGAGATATTATATAACCCGATTATGCGCCATAGGGGTCCCTAGGTCCACCATCGCCATGGCTCTGATAGCTAGAAAAAACATTAAATATTTTTCAATGTGAAGATTTTAGAGTAAAATAACTATCTATAGTTAGCTATTTTAGTAAAATTTAATAGTAAAATTTTTAAAGAATTTCTAGAATGTTTCCAATGACGTCATGTACTAAAACTCCTATGAATTAAGTGCACTTGAATAAATTATCAAGTCTGTATAATGCGCCTGGAAAATCGCGTTTATTTTAAAGACTCCTAATACCACAGAAAATGGAAAAGACAAGCTTCGACTAAAATAAGATTTGTTTTACTTGGTATACATTTATTAATTAGTTTTAAACAAAAAAAATTTGCTCAGACATTTTTTTTAACATTCTTTTTAATATGAACACAACATGTCTTGGGACTTGGTGGTCCCTTTAAGGTAATTTTGGGAAATCACTTCAAAGTTTTTGACTATTTGTCAGTTTTCTCAAAAAAAATATCTGTGTTTTTTTTGCAAGATTCTTTTTTGTTTGAGAGTGTTCACAGAGATTTCTGATTTTGATTTAATTTAGTTTAGTTTGATGGAAGACCTTTGCGTCCTGTGTATAGTTTATCTAGTTTTTAACATTTATTACCGCAATACAAGACTTTTTATTTTTCTCATATTGGAATAAACAACAAACTGTATTTTAAAGAAATGTTTGTCATTTTTAATATATATTTGTAACATAAAAGATGATAAAATTACTTTGAAGAAAGTATGCAATGGTCGTATTTCTCTTGGTTTCCATTCTGCTCTAGTTTTTAACCAGCATGCAGTTCTCTTCACCCTTCCTTAAAGTTTTTAACCAGCATGCAGTTCTCTTCACCCTTTCTTAAAGTTTTTAACCAGCATGCAGTTCTCTTCACCCTTTCTTAAAGTTTTTTTAAGGCTCCAGATAAAAGTTGTCCACTTAACAGTTTAACTTAACAGTTCTTTCCACTAATTGTGATTTGTTCAACAGATCAGTGAGAGAAATTTTTCTAGCAGTTTGAATAGTTTGTTGTAACCTACATGAGGTAAAAAATGAAGTAGGACGCAACATTAAAATCAAACTTCAACTTTGAATTTCAAGTGATTTTTGGCATAAAATCTGGATTAAATTTCCCTAAAATAGTTGCTCCAAACTTCAGCTTTGCAGTTCAAGGACATAGCTTTGATTTTTTGTTTGAAATCCCGCTTGATTTTCTTGAATAGCATAATTTTGAGAACTTGATGGAGAGCACAGGCTCTTACAACTTTCTTAATTGTCTTGCAGCATAGCATCTAGAAATTTTTCTTAAAAAAAGCAGCAGGAGTGACCCTGAAGATTTTTAAACACAATTTTTCAATTATTAAAAGGCTGTTTATACATAAAAATTTCAAGTATTTCTTTACCAGTAGGGTCTTTATAGTTTTTAGGATCATTAATTTTTCTATTTCCGATATAACATGACGAAAATGGTACTTACCATTGTGAAGTAAGCAACGCATTATATGAATGCTACATTTATTTAAATGAAAGATCTTTTTTAATTGGACAACTAAACCATTGTTAACACCAGTGTTTGAACCTGTATTATCTAGAGCAATAGCTTCCAAGCATTCAATAGTATCATATTCAGTAAGAACATTTAGTGTTTCTTAAGCCATACTGTTAACTGTACCATTTTCTACTTCAACATGTGTCAGATTTTTTTCAAAAAAAAATCTACTTAAATAAGTAAAATTGATGTGATGTTCATCTTGAGTTGTTCTATACAATACCCATTGTATTTCATCGCATAGACTAACAAATTTTTTTAATTCTTGCCATCCACACCAATTAATTTTAGCTGTGAAAGCTATGCTTAGTTTCAATTGAACTAGCCACTTGTTTTTTAACAAAAAACCTTATATTCTGTTATAATCTGAGATTTGTTATTCTTAGTTACTACTTCATTGTCAATTAAAGTACCTGTTGCTATTGCAGCTGTAGCAGCATCGCTAATCTTGAAAGTTATTGCAGCCTTAGCTAAATTAGTAATCATCATTATCTTCTTCATCATCATCATTGTTTTAGCTTCTTTGGTTTTCGTGCTTGCACGGGTTTGATTTTTCTTATAATATTGTTTCTCTAACATACACAGTCTTAAACATCTTCTTTCCTTAAATGTAGCTTTTTCAAATCATTGGAAACATATTCTTTCCAAGTTTTTCTGTTTCTTTTGTTTGTTTTTTTTTCTGAAACTTCCAACTCTCTACATGCTGATAACCAGTCATCTTTATCTTTATGCTTTACATGCCCTAACCACCTAAATCTTCCCTGATGCACCGAATCAGATATACTTACAACGCCTAATCTTTTTCTTAAATCATCACTGCTTTTATTATTTTTTAAAGTTACACCGCATATCCATCTAATTCTAGTTTTTTCTGTTCTTTCCAAAAGCCGGACATCATCAACCTTCATTGTCCATGTTTTACTGCCATACATCATAACACTCTGAACATGGGTGCTGTAGAACTTTCCTTTTATCATTAATGATTAAATTCTCCAAGATAACAAATCTCTTTTTTAACTTTTTTTATACTCACCAAAAGTATATTTTCCAACAATCTTTAGAGAACATCTCTTTAATATCTACATCTCTTACAAAATCATTCTATACAAAGTGTACAAAACTATAGAGTTAGCTCTAACTTTCTTCCTACACTCTCCGCATGACACTTCCCAGTATTTTTTGCTTGCTCATTCTTGACTTTACAATGCATAACTTTTATCTTATTCATGTTTATCTTTTGCCCTTTTGTTTTTTTGATTTCATCTTTCTAAGTCTCGAACCTTAATACTATCTCTTCTTCTGTTTCAGTAATCTCTGAGTAATTGCTTTAGCTAACTATTTGCTCCTCAAACTCTTCACTTAATTTAAAAATGTAAATAACTATTTATATGGTTTAACTTTTTAAAAAATTTTTATTTATATGGTATATTTTAAGTTACATGGACTAAGCAATAAGGGGTGTGAGGGGACCTGAGTTAGTGAGTGACTCCAAATAAGGCCAATCATTTTATTTAATTTCTTAAACATTGTTTCATAAAACTTGTTTTACATTTTAAAAATAAAATTAAGGGCCTTCGCTTAGGACCTCCAGACTCTTAAGCTTAGGGCCTTAGACGCTAAGGGGCTCCACTTGTCATGATTTGCCACTAATTGCATAAATAACATAATTAAATGTAATTAATAATGTTAAATATCCAATTAAAAATATGAGTATGTAATTTAATACAAAACAGTTTTACTGTACAAAAAAAAAAAATTGTCAAGGTAACTAGTAAGCTAATTCATTTTTAAATCTATAATTCATTTGAATCCAAATAAAATAGTAAATTTACAATTTACTAATTAATTTACATATTAACTTGGTAAATAGTTTTTTATTAACCACAGAGCTTTGTGTTTCTTTTGTAAATTGCTTTTTTTATCACTGTTTACCATCTGAATAGTTTTGTTCTCAAACGTTAGGAGAATTTACTTTTAAATATGCCCGTTTTTCTTTTATGTTTCCCAAAAAGATTACAGGTTTTTTTTGCTTTTTTTTTTTGTGGCAAATAATTTCTAAATAAAATTTTAGCATAGATAGATTTTAGCATTGATAAAATTTTAGCAAAAGAGAAAATAAGAAGAACTTAGCCTAAACACAAAAAACATAAATATAACTTAGCTAAAATAAATCACAAAAAAATAAAATGCTAAATATATTTAAATCAGGTTTTTAATTGTTTTAGGAATAATGTGTTTTTATAATATTTTGGAAAACCCTTTTGAATAAAGTAATGTTTTATAACTCTTTTTTAAACCATTTAATGCTTTGTTTAAAACATTTTTTTCTCCTAAAGATTACCATTTATTATAAAAATTTGATAGTTATATATAAATAAAAAACAACTATGTATGCATTTTCATTTATATTTAAAAAATTATTAGGAGTAATTTTAAATTTTTGTTTCATTAAAAAAATATTAAAGATCAAATTTATATAATTGTATCATTCATCAAAAACTTTTTTTTACAAAGAAATTTTTTATCTTTTTAAACGTATTAACTTTAGTGATTTATACATTACAGTATAAAACTATAGTAAACTTTATTGATTACATTACAGTGACTGTAGTTGTCTTAAAAGTCATGTATATATGACTTTTATATATCATTGGAGTAGATCAAAAATTTTTCTTGATATTAAAAAACCCAAGTTTCTCTTGTCAAATGTACACATTTGCTGTGTGACAGTTTATGGATTTGTTGAGAGTTCCAAAGTCTACCACTGGATGTATTTTTTTGCTTTTGTTTTCTTGCACAATGGTGATAAAAGAAACTCTCAAATAGTCCTTGTAAACATATAAATGTGGCGGTGGAATTTCATCAGTTATGCCACCAGTATTCAATGGCAACCATCATCAGTTCATCCTGCTCCTTATGAGACCAATTTAAATTCAGCTGTTTTCAGATGTTATGTTGGCAGCTATTATACTTGGATTTTTAAAGAGTTATGCTCATTGGAGAATATATACATAAAAATACAAAAAAATCAAAATTAGATTTAAAATCAAGCTTTTATAATATTTCTTGTATATAATTGCAGTTGTTTATTTTGCAATATAAATATACTACTTCTGATATATAAAAAAAATATACTAGTGAAGTATTTCTATTATGTCCTCATAAATACAAAAACATATACAAGGACGGAAAATATAAACTTTTAAAAGATAATTTTTTATTAAGTAATTCAAAGTTGTTATCTTTCAATATATTATTTAATTTCTACGTCATAATTGGTGGATAGTCGAAATCACATAAAAAATTAGAATTTGAACGAGATAAATAACATGTGAACGAGATAAATAACATGTGAATTAAACTTTCTTTAACTTATACATTAAAAGTAGGTCAAAGCAACTCTAAAAAAAAAAACATGCATAAAGTAAAGGTCACACGAATTGAAAATATGTTTTAAAAATTATTTGAATCTTTGTATTTTTTTAAAAAACTATATTGTCTTTATGAACCAAGTCAGTAATAACTGTTCTATTATTGTTTTATTATATGTTGGAAATAGTGTGGTGAGCACGATTTCGCCCCATTAGTAGCATGATTGTCACATACAATACCATTGACTTTAAAACCACTCTTGGTTAAAATATCTAAGCAGCTCAAAATTTTATCTTTTAACCACTCACTGTTGATTTTGGTAACTGACAAAGCTTTTATAATGCAGGTTATATTTTCTTTTTGCCCAATTATTGTAAAACATAAAATACTTCTACAAAGTTCATTCTTATCATTGGTACCAATAAATTCTCCTCCACAATAGACTCATCATTCATTTCCACCCACTCATCATTCAGTTCAAGTTTATAAAAAACAATATAGTCTACATATTTTGAAAAGGTCCCGGTGTGCTTTCTGCTTCATATATTGATTCTAAATCAAGTGAAGAATGGTTTGTTAAATCAAGTAAAAAATGGTTTGTTAAAAAATGATTGGTTCTGATCTTCTTGAAAAACCCTTTTTTGAGGAAATCTTCTTGGTAGTGAAATTGTAAGTATTAAAGATGGTGTTTCTATACAATCTGGATAAATAGTAAAGAATGGTTTTGAGGCTTTAATCAAACGGAATCTTTCATCTTGTTCGCCTTTCTTTATAAGTTTATTGTCAAAATGGTTTACACAGACTACTGATGAGAAGTTGGTCGCCAGTTTTTTTCTGTTCACAAATCGAATCCATCTGTTTTTTATATCTTCGTTTGTTGGAAAAGAAAACACAGGAATTGATTGATTTCTTGAATGATTTGATCGACATCCAACACAACATTTGTTAACCATATTGCACATAAAGCTATTTAAGTATTAAATATGGCATTCGGCGAAAATACAGGATGTAAGGCCGTGTGTTTTAAGTAGGCCATATTAATTAACAACATAATTAAGGTTAATTATTAGTTAAGAACTTAATTAAAGTTAATTGTTAGTTAACAACATAATTAAGCTTAATTATTAATTAACAACATAATTAAGGGTTAATTATTAGTTAACAATTTAATTAAAGTTAATTGTTAGTTAACAACATAATTAAGCTTAATTATTAACTAACAACATAATTAAGGGTTAATTATTAGTTAACATTGATTACTATTAAGTTCAATATTATTAACTTATTATTTTAATTTTATTGATATTTTTATTAATAACTTTATTGATATTTTTTTAAACTTAAAAGCTGTTTTATATCGTTACATTTTTTACTTTGTATTATTTATTTTTTTTATTCGAAGGTATTTGGGTTCGAACGGGAGATATTATACTTATGACTGGTCCTTCGCGGACTGCGTTTCATGCTGTTCCTTGTATTATTACAAAAAATCAAAAAACAATACCGCACGACATAGGTGTATCGTGCCAATTATGGCAAACCTCTGAATATTTTCCTGCAGCGGAAAGTGCTGAATATTGTAAATGCATTGATTGTTCTCATCATTTGTGGACTAATGCTATGAACGACTCATCGTGGGAAAAGTTTGCTGAATATATTTCCAAGACAAGAATAAATATCAATATCAGACAAGTTCATAAACACGTGGACAAAAAAAAATAATAAATGAAATACAAAACATTAAAAAAGTTGTTTGTTATTAAATTTTCAGTTAACAATCGGATTTAATATAATTTTAAAATATAAATAAATTTTTACAATTACAATTGCTTAACATTTAAAAGAACTCCAATAATATTATCACTTCATATAAAATCAATTCTTTTGCTAACATACATTATGGTGAAAAAAAATCTAAAATGCAGATTCGAAGATCAAGTCCATTTTCGTTATTTTGTATTACATACTTTTGTTTTTTTTGTTGATGAAAAACAGTTTAGAATACTCATTACTTATTTATAATTGCAGAAATTAACCGAAAAATAAGTGCAAACCACTGGGGCCCTGCGAATTGGGATTTTCAGTTTTGAATCGATGCGGGTTTTGATTTACGAATCGAATCAGTAATATGAGGAAATCCAAAGTTAAGCCTTTTTTTTTTTTTTTTATAAAAAAAACTACATAGTTTAGCAGTTGTTTGGAAGCTGTATTACAATTACTTTCGATTACAATTACTTTACTCTAGCTGAGATAAATAAAAACATTTTGATAGCATCTTAGCGTTGAATATCTAAAAAAAACATTAACTGTCACACTTGATTCGCGAACCAAATCGTTTCAAAGGACCCTAATATATATATATATTCTTTTTTTCCGTAAAAAATTACGGCTAATACACAAAATCTTGAGTTCTTGTTATGGTTAAGAGTAGTGTTTGTTCCCCTTTTAGTGATTTTCACTAGTAAAACCAACGCTGTTGTAACGAATTTTTAAAATTTGTTATGCAATTTTTAAAATCAGACAGGTGGAATATATATATATATATATATACATAAATATATGAGGATAATCTATGTATGGAAATATATAGATAATCCTCAGCATAAAATAACATTTATCATAAGTTTAACATACAATTATTTATTTATTACCCATTTAATCTGCTTTACTAGAACCTATAAAACTAATAACTATACTTATTAAAACCTCCAAAGGACTTTGTAAACTGGAAGTAAGAAAAATGTATAGCCTTTTTCAAGAAAATCGTTTATAAGAGATACAATAGCTTTCAGTGTTATAATTAGAGCATAAGAAGTTTGTTTCGTCAATGTAAAGTATTTATATTTTGATCAAATTTCAATACAGCTTGCAATTTCTCTAAAGTATGGGCTTATTATCACCTTTCACAGCAGCATTGCTGAGTTTATTGTATGAATTGGGTTTTTGAATTAAGTTTGTTAAATAACTTTTTAAACGATGATAAAAATTGTTCTGCATTATTTCTTTCAGGAAAATAACTTAATACTGCAGTTGTTTCTTCATTTATTGCAAATGTAAGGTTGATAACTTGTTTGTTTCCAAGATAATTGAATACTTTATAATCGAATACTGACTTGATAATTAATTTTTTTTGCTTTTTTTTTAATTCCTGTTTAGTAATTGATCTTTTAATAAACTTTATGAAATATATTTCCTGCAATCTAACCAGAAGTAACTTCAACTTAATCTGTTTCTTACATTAAAAAAAAAATATTTTTAATAAAACGGAGTATATCAAATAATAACTATGTTTTCAGGGCCGTGGAGAGCTGGTATCGGGCCTGGGGTAATATCAAACTGACGGGCCCCCTCAGGGCTTAGGGCTTCAGACATATGAATAATACTACTTTTGATACAAATAATTTTTTAATTTGACTATATACAGTATTTTATTTACAAGTATATTTTGAATACAATACAGTGAAAAATTATATATAATTTAACTACAACAAAATTAAAATATATAAAACCTGTAAGTTAGATTAAAACTTTTCTCGCTTTCCTACTGGCAAAATCAGCAATTACACTGTCAAAATTGATCTTTTTTGCTAAATCACACTCCATCGCTAAAATTCCCAAGCCAGAAACTCTACCTTGCGTCATTGTTGATCTTAGATCATTTTTTATAAGCGCCAGTCTGCTAAAATACCGTTCAGCTTGTGCTACCGTAACTGGTAATGTACAAAAAATTCTCAGGCCAATACAAATGTTGGGGAAAAGACATATAAGTTTCAGGTCGTTGATTTTATTGAGAAGAAGAAAGGGGTCCAAATCATTTTTGATGTTAACATCATGGATAAATTTCAAATGCAAAAGCTCATCAATCAGCTCCATGGAAACATCATCCTTGCATTTATTCACAAAATCCTTACTCCTTCGGCGAATTTCTTCCTCTTCGTAATGATTATACTTCCAGAGAAAGTTAAAAGTTTTGTCAATTTCATATGCAGCTTCATATCGTCTACTAATATTCCCTATAATGCAGTCCAATAATATATAAAAAACGTTTTGTTTAAAATTATTTTCAGAATTTGATAGAGAAATCTCATCAGGTGTCTCATCAGCAAATCGCTTCTTAATTTTTCGTCTAGGTTCTGGAAGTTCTTGAGAAATGTTTAAGGTGTTTGCAACTAATTTACTCTCCACCATAATAGAATCCCATTTATCTCGAAGAGTTTTTAATTCATCAATTAGTCGTTTGATGTTGGTCACTTCTACATCCAATGTAGCATTCCGTGCTTGCAAAACAAGATTGGTGTAATTGATAGCAGTAAGTACTTTGATCCATATAGCGGACATCAGAATGCATTCAAACGATTCCATATATGAATTAATCCCATTTAGATCAGCACGATTTTCTATAGACAAATTTAGGTTCCTTATATCAGCTACTGATTTGATTATACCAGGAAGGTGGGTTGCGAATGGCTTAATGCAGTCCACTCTAGCTGACCAGCGCGTTTGGGACATGCTATGAAGAGACGAACCAATATATTTTTTTTAAATTTCCCATCTTTGAGGACTGCTACTAAATATGTTATACAGTTTTTGCACTATCCCAAAGAAAGTTATCACTTGAGGACAACATTCAGCAGCTTGTGCACCGCATAAATTCAGACTATGACAAGCACAGGGAGAGTAAGTAGCAAGTGGATAATGTTGAAGAATTCGAGCTTGTGCTACCTTGACTGAACCTTTCATATTACTCCCATTGTCGTATCCTTGTCCACGACAGCACATCAGTGGTATTTTATGTTTCTAAGAGTAGAAGTAATTATATTTGCAATATCTTCACCAGTTTTTGTATTGCAATCTACAAATTCCAGAAATCTCTCTTTTACCTCATACTTTCCTGTCAATTTGTCCTGTAAGACGTATCTTAAAATAAAAACATTTTGCTCAATATGAGCTGTATCAGGCGTTGCATCCACAATCATTGAAAAATATTTGCATTTCTCCCTCTCATCTAATATCACATCTGTGACTTTATTTGCACAGCACTGAATAAACTCATTCTGGATATCATTTGACAAATAATGTGCTTGCATTCGCTTATGGCTCTGTTGAGAAGCTTTTACTTTTTCGAGATGATCATGTAGAATGGAATCGTAATGACCAATGAGTTCCATAATTCTCAAAAAATTCCCATTTTTGGGGTCACCAATTAGATGACTATCGCCTCTAAATGCAAGACCTATTTCACCCAAAAACAAGATAACATCTAATACTCTACGAAGTATTTGCCTCCATCTTTCCACTTCTGTCTTTATATTATCATTTAGTAGAAAATTGATAGTTGTATTATTTCTGAGATTTTCTTCTAATCGTCTCCATTCTACATAACACATCTTATGCCCACTGCTGGATTGATGATGAGGAATTTTTTCATAAAGTTTCTTCCATTTATTGTCCTTGGGCTTGGAATATCCTGTTGGCAAAGATAATGCCGATCGATGGGTTTCTGGCATTTTAGAGAAAAGTCGGCAGAGAAAACAGTAAAGTGCATTCTTCGTCTCACTCCACGTTAGCCAATCTCGTGGAATTTTTTCGCCATTTGGCATGGCAATGTGAAATAACGTGCGCGGAAATGATTTAAGCAATGCATTTTTTGGAAATTTTGTTGGATGAGCAATGGGTCCATGATGAACAAATTTTTCTATTTGTTCAGCAGTGCAAAATAATTCCTTAATTAAACCAATATCATAGTTATTTGATGGAACTAGTTGGACATCATCTGCCTTGTCTTGTAATTCTTCTAGCCTTGCAGTTGATGTCTTTGGAAGAATATTTTCATTTTCGTCTATTACATTCTCTTTCACATCAGCACTCATAACTTTCCTATTTAACAATTCATCTTCCTCAATTGGCACTGGCTCTACTTCAACATTTGAGAGTTGTGACGTCATCTTGCACATCTGATCGTCAGAAACACCATCAATACGATTACAATTTATAAATCCAAAAGACTCAATCGTACTTTGACCCTTCTTGGCTGATTTTTCTCGAGCAATCTTTTCTTTTCTTTTTTGAGCACCAGATTTATGCTGGTAATGATGCATAGCTGCTTGTAGTAGGCTGCCTATGCGAGGTCCTGTAACAATAGAACAAAAATTTCTTAGTTAAGTTAATAAGTAAATTGACAAATTAAAATAAATGACAATTAATAATTGTTAAAAGTTAAAATAGAAGTTAAAATAGAAGTTCAACTTTATATATTAAATTATATATATATATATATATATATATATATATATATATATATATATATATATATATATATATATATATATATATATATATATATATATATATATATATATATATATATATATATATATATATACATATATATATATATATATATATATACATATATATATATATATATATATATATATATATATATATATATATATATATATATATATATATATATATATATATATATATATATATATATATGTATATGTATATATATATATATATATATATATATATATATATATATATATATATATATATATATATATATATATATAACTTTATATATTAAATTATATATATATATATATATATATATATATATAATATATATATATATATATATATATATATATATATATATACATATATATATATATATATATATATATATATATATATATATATATATATATATATATATATATATATATATATATATATATATATATATTTTATTTAAATAAAGAAAAACAACATTATAATAGTACTTAAAGTTTCGTGCCTTTCGGCAATCATCAGCTATTAATTACAAATTAAAAATTAAAAATTAACGTTTAAAAAACGAATCAAAATTTTACAGTAGAACGAGTTCTGACGTAATTTGAAAAGGCGCAATCATTTAATCTCCAGTATCAAACAGGAATTTATTTAAATGTCGACATTTAGATAATATTTCGTCTTTTTTATTAAGCAGGTTGTTTCCATTAAAAGATAAAATTTTTAACTTCTCATGAAGACAAAGTTTGCAGGTTTTATATATATATATATATATATATATATATATATATATATATATATATATATATATATATATATATATATATATATATATATATATATATATATATATATATATATATATATATATATATATAAATATATATATATATATATATATATATATATATATATATATATATATATATATATATATATATATATATATATATATATATATATAAAACCTGCAAACTTTGCAGGTTTTATATATATATATATATATAAAACCTACCTAAAACCTATATATATATATATATATATATATATATATATATATATATATATATACATACATATATATATATATATATATATATATATATATATATATATATATATATATATATATATATATATATATATATATATATATATATATATATATATATATATATATATATATATATATATATATATATATATATATATATATATATATATAGGCCTATTATATATATTATATTATATTATATATTTATATTATATATATATATAGGCCTATTATATATATTATAAAGCATGGCATGAGCAAGGAACTTACGAAAAACCTGCGGGCTGGTGCCCTATATTTATTTTTTAAGTTTTAGAGGCTCCTTCTCCGTTTTTACTCTCAAAAGCGTATTTTCATTAAATAAATTAAATTATTAATAAAGAATAGATTTATCCTATCAATATTACATAGTAAATTTATTTATTTATCTAACTGATGAAGTGATGCAGACACAATGTTGCTTGATGGGGATTGGCTGATTACCTGGAGACTGGGACCTGATAGACTAAGAGACCGATGGTGATGGGCCCGGGCCCGTAGAGGCCCGGGCCCGGTGAAAATACCCCCTCTGGCCCCCCTCTCGTCGGGCCTGTATGTTTTTACCACTCTTTTTATAAAGTGATAAATAAATAGTTTTTTCCAGTATATGCTTTAAAAAACTATGAAAATGCATTAACACTGGTAGTATGATTATCGGTAACAAAAGTCTCCAAATCCTTTGAAAAAGCTCAATATACATTAGGTATTTTTATAGATCGAAAGCACTTGATACGGTTTACCATAATATTTCAATACAAAAAAATGAAATATTACGGTTTAAACAATAATGTTTTAGCGGCTATTTAACAAATTCTTAGCAAATAGTGTATAGTAATAAGGGTGATCCAAATGGATCCTTAAATATAACCTGTGGCGTTCCACAAGGTTCTATTATTGGACCGTTGCTATTTCTAAGCTATCCCAACGGTCTAAACAAAGCTTCTAACCTGATGAGTATTTTTATCCAGATGGCACCAACCTATTTCAATCCCACATTAATATTTACAAACTTTTCTTAACAACTAATAATGAACTTATAAACATTTCTAAATGTAATAAATTAACGTTAGACTAAATGGATTCTTTTTGATTTCCTCTCAAAAAAAAGTTCTTTACCAGATATTATGCCTTAAATTTATATTGATGAAACTGTAATAAAAAGAGAATCTGTTATAAGATTCCTTGGTGTTTATCTTGATGAGAATAGTACTTGGAAAAACCATATTAATCATATAAGCACCAAAATATCTAAAAGTATTGGCATTTTTTATAAAACCCGATCTTACTTAAACAAAAAAAGCCTTACACAGCTCTATTACTCATTTATACACAACTATATATATTACGCAAATATTGCATGAGGTAGTACCGAAAAAAGTTATCCACAAAGTCTATATCGCCGACAGAGACATGCACTTTGCGTAATTAATTATGTGAATCGCTAGTGTGAAGAGCGCGCTTTTCACATTTAAAACCTTTCTTTGATGAAATGAAAATACTTAATGTCTACAAACTTAACGTCTTGTTTTACTTATATGTTGAAAAACAATTTATCCCTACCTGTTTTTAACGACCTTTTTACAATGAAACTAACTAATAAGTATTCACTAAGAAATAAAGATTTGCTTAACGAACCATTTTGTAGAACAAAATTTAATAAATTTTGTATTAATTATCGAGCACCTTACCTTTGGAATACAATAGTTTTGCCTAATTTTGATCCTTTTTTTCGTTTTTCTGTTTTAAAAAATAAATTAAAAAATTTTATTCTTGCTATGGATGACATTTTAAGTTACTACTAACTTGAAATATAAACTTGATTTATGAGATTTATAGTAGTATTTATATTAATAGATTTATTCTCTTGAATTTAAAACAGATCTATAAAATTTATTGTTATGGATTTTTATAACAGAATTGTGAGAACTATGATTTATTGTACTATTTTGTTTTTAAAATTATAAAGGTTCTGATAATAAGATCATTTGATCTTGTTTGTTTGTTCTTGTAAAATATAGTATTTATTTTACGACAACTGTAAACAGAAAAAAAAATGAATAAAATTTAAATTCAGATTGGTGCATTGAGGTAATACACTTATTAATTTCTTTTTCAAACAAAAACCTGTTATGCAAACTTCAGGTGAAGTACATAAGAATGAATTTTTGAAGCCTTACAAGTTTTTTTATAAAGATTACTTTCTCAATCTTTGCTTTGATATTGGGCTGGTTTTTGCAAAAACATTTTAATCACAAGAAGTAGGCAATCACTTCATACACAATTTTTGTCAATAAGTTTTCTAACATACTGCATTTTTAATTTTTTAATTTTCACCCCTGGCAAACCATTTAGGTAAAGAAATATCCTTATTATTAGTCTTCATAATACATTAAAAAATTAGGAATTTTATTAACAGCTATTAACTCAAAAACAGTTGGTATGGTAACTGGTATGCCTGATATTTCTTGGCCTACTGTAAATAAGAAACCTGATTTGTTGTATTGTAATTGCTGCATGTTTGAAATATGCAGCATCATGGAATATTTTCATTGCATAACATTGTTTTGCAGGGTAAATATTCCTAAGAAAAATTTATGTTTTATTCCTAATAATTGCAGTTATAATAAATACAAAATTACAAACCTTCAAAATTATTTCCAGTAGAGAGTTGTGGGTAATATATATATATATATATATATATATATATATATATATATATATATATATATATATATATATATATATATATATATATATATATATATATATATATAAAGTGTGGGCGGGGGGGGGGTAAATCTACCGGTATCGTTGACCCTGGTACTTCTTAACAAAGATCTTAACAAAGAAAATTGATTTCAAAAAGTTTGTATAAAACATTAAAAATATACTTTTTAAGTATATTTTATAATATCATCTTTATAAGTAAAAATGTTCTTTATATCCAATTTTATGTTTGTTAAAAAAGTATTAATTGTGGTGTTTACGGGAATATTGAACAGGGGCAGTTTTTTTTGCGTGCTTGAGATACTTTCAAGACATGAAGCAAAGTTAAAACATTTGTTTGTTTATACTACTTACAAAAAAGAGAAAAGAGAAGAAACATTTTGACGATGTGACAATGGTTGAAGGTTGGCTGTAAAATCAGGTCCAACATTTAAAAATGCGTGTTTGCACTTTTTCTAAAAGAGGTATGGCAGGCATCATTCAAAGATCCGCTCCAGATATGACAACAGTTTTCCATACTAGGATGGGTTTGATATTTAAGAGATATTGAATAGAATTCGGAGTTAGAAAGTGGCGAGCACAATAAAGAAATGCAACCTTAGCAGATGTTAATTTTGCAATGGATTTGATATACATTTTCAAAGAAAGATCAGAAGTAAGATTTAATCCTAGACGACGAAGGGTAGATGATTCATCGAGTAGATTACCGTTCATAAATATAGAAAAATCTTGTTTGTTCCGATTACAATTAGCTGAGTTTTATATAAGTTATAGTTCACAAGCCGCTGAGAGCCCCATGCTGTAGCAGAAGTGAGATCTTTTCTATACTCAAACGCTCCCTTCAAGCAATCAGAGAGTGTTGGCTTTGGGTCAGGGTAATAACATCAGCTTTTACTATGTCTAATAATAATAATAACATTTGTCCGAAAACATCTAAAATTTCATTGATGTCTTAGAACATCTGTGTAAAAATTATATAATTACTGCAGATGTAGTTACATCTTTTCAATGATGTTTAGAATAACTTCATTTGTACAACTACATCTGTGAATTCTACAGATTTAGTTACATCTTTTCAATTATATTAAATATAACTACAGGATTTTATGAAATTATTAAACTATAATGCATTATTTTAAATAGATATTGTTACATATAAGTTTTTTTTTCAGATGTAGTTACATCTGGAAATGTAGTTTCATACACTGTTTTTTTCATATGTAGTTACATCTGAAAGAAATTCCTATTGTAGTTACATCTTCCTAAAGATGTTGTTAGGGGTCATTGAATTTCCAGATGATATTGGACAGCAGCCGTATTCTCATCTCTCCGTTAAGCTTAACAGAGCGTTAGTAGAAAAATTCTTTTTAACTACATTAATAAAAAAAGTTCTCTAAAAATATAGTTGTTAAAAAATAAATATTTTATTTTAGTGTTAGTTTTATTTTTAAAAATTTAAATAAAGTTTTTGTCATTTTTTTACTTAGGAATATTGTAATGAAATTTCAGACAAAAGCTCCGTTAAGCTTAACGGAGAGATGAGAATACGGATGCAGATATTGTTTGATTAAAAAAAAAAAAAAATGATCTTGAACAAAAGTGTGCAGATGATCTTAGACTACTCTACAGATGTTGTTGGACAGATGTAGTAATCTTCTAAGTTGGTTTCTTATCAAGGCAATAATATATTGTAGTATCATGAGCAAACAATGCCACTTTAGATGTGAGAGTTTCTGGATGATCTTTATTATAAATTTAAAAAAGTATAAGGATGGTCAAGGATGGCCAAGGTTCTAACCTTGAGGAACCCCTGGTATTACAGGAAAAGAAGAAGATGCTGTAGATCGAGAACAACTTTTATACTACGATTGGTAAGGAAGTATTCAATAATCTTAAATATTTTACTTGATACACCGTAAGAAAAGAGCTTATGGAGAAGACCAGCATGCCAAACTTTATCAAACGCTTTAGAAATGTCGAAAGCAATAGCCTTAATCTTAAACAGCCTTAAGTTAACCTTAAATACTAATATAACAAAATGGGTTTTATTCCATTCGATTACAAAAAAGCGATTTCTGCCATCAAAGTTAGCTCAAATCTTTATCGATCAAAATAAAATAAAACAAGATTTTATTACAAAAGTGTTTATTTTGATGAAAAAATTAATTGGAATCATCATACTGATTATATAAGCATAATATTCGTAATCTGAATTTTAACAAATTTTCGTCGGTCCTTAAGCTGCAACGTCTTAATCTTCGTCAGAAACGTCTTAAGACAATCGGGGGCCCTAGGCTAGACTTAAATTGGGGGTCCCCTATTATCTCTAATAAAAAATGAAACGAAGATGTTAATATGGTAACATCTATTAGAACAACAGTTATATTTACATGTGACGTTTTCGTGCTTTTTTACATGAAAATTCTTTAACAATATCATCAAAATCAATATTTAGAAGGACATCAGGTTCAATTGACATTAATGACAGACAGTTCAATTGTTCCTGCAACATAATAGTTGACCTGCAACATAATAGTTGACCTGCAACATAATAAATCGGAGCTCATTTTTAATAAGTTTTAGTTTTGAAAATGATCGCGCACTAGTGCAATTTAAGACCATCATTCAAAGAAAAATTCTCAAAGAAGTTTCAAAAGGAAAAGTTGATTCCAAGTGGTCTTTCTTTATTGTGTAGTAAAATTTTTTGAATGAATGTTCATCTCTTGAAGTATAATGTTTAAATTGTTGGCTCTCAATAAAAAGTTCATTTTCATTTGTCTTTTTTATAAATTTGCGCTAAGTTAGAACAACAATCTTTTATTTTAAAGTCGGCCATTGTTTGAATGTTCATAAAGAAATCCAAAATTGTCATTAATCTTCTCATTTTTTTCTAAATTAGATTTTTTTCTAAAATGGATGTTAATGAATCAATAACAGGAAGGTATGATTCAATCTTGAATTTAAGACTTCCCTGGAATTCCGTTTCTTCAGACTCGCCATCAGAAAAGGTGTTTTTGCTTCTTTTCTTTGTTCTGAAGCATCTTTGTATTCAAAGTTTGAAAGCATCATTTTGGCTTCATCTGAATTCTCTGATTTCTCAAATCTTTGATGAAATTTAACAATGACTTTTTATTAAAATAACACAGAATGTCTTTCCACAAAATTGTTAAAAAAACAAAAGTGTTTATTTTCTTTAAAACATTTTGGGCATTATTTTGGGTTTCTTTTGTCTGACTTCTGTCTTTGATCAAAGATTCAAGGCTTTTTTTATTTCATCATAACTCTTATGAAAACAAGTAACAGCATCTGCACGTGCTGACCATCGAGTTCTAGTTTGATAATTTTTTTCCCACGGCAAACAAAAGACTGAAGCACTTGCCAACAATGAGTTGATGCAGAAAAAAAGTTGTACTGGCATTGAACATTGGGTGTTCACTTGAAATTAATGTATATTATTTGTGAATAACCTTGTCTTTTTTATTATTATTACCTGCAAATTATTATTTTTACATGTTTGTTGTATGTCTATATGCTTATTATTAGTCATATTATATTTAAAAATTGGTGTCATTCCTTTGATCAGACTTCTGTGTGAGTGAAACCATCCTTATAAATTATTAACTTATTATTATAAAATAATATTATAATTACAACTATTATTATATTATTTATTACTATTGAATTTTTTTTATTTATTATTATTTTTGTCCTTTATTATAATTATAATTATAAATTTCTATTACTCTTGATTAATTTGTTATCTTATTATATTTTTATAATTATTATTATAACTATTTTTATTGTTGTTATTATTGTATTATTATTTTTATTTTTATTACTATTGTAATAATGATTGTACATGGAAAATAAATAGCTTGTTGTTGTTGTTGTTGTTGTTGTTGTTGTTGAACAAAATAAAAAAAAAACAATTACTTGCAGGAAACATCCAGCAGCACTGTTATCAACCAGATTTAAAGAATGTCCAGCACAAGGAATAAAAAAATGCCAATTCACTGTTGTCATTTACCTTTCTTTGCAGTACTTAGTACTCCCCTCCCAGGTTTAATGCACTATCATATGACTTCCCACGACAATCGGATATTGAAATATCATTTTCTTGTAAAAAGTTCAAAACAATTTTTTCTAAATGTTCCGCTCCATACCCATTAATGGAGACAAATTGTAAAAACTGCTCGATTGGTACTGTATCTTTAACATTATCAAACTGTAGAAGTTAACTGATCAAAATGAGACAAGTCTAGATTTGAGTCAACACTGATGGACTAATATTTTGCTTTTTTTTAACTTTGAAGTTATTTCAACCAATACTTTTTTTTCCATTAAGCATATGAACTTTTCCAGAATTTCCATGTTTTTACCTTTTCCAGAATTTCCATGTTTTTTGATGTTCATCTTAAAAAGGATTAAACTGGCTTAGTAACTCCAGAGTTACCAAATAATTTCCATTTTGATTTGATCCAATGGTTTCATTTTTTACGCGACATAACAATCCTCTTGATGACAAAAACTTCGCAACTGTAACAACTCAATTGTGCTTTGTAGAACTGTTTTAATAAAACAGAGTCAAGCTGACGACTTTTATTTTGCTAACTGGAGTATTTAAGAACATTTTTGTGATGTTCAAAGCCATTTGCATGCCCAGATATTTTGAGACATTTTTCCAGTCATCAAATCCAGTTGTGGAAAAATTAGAATGTGTGCTTAAAAAGTAAAATACAGATCCTGTAGATGGTGAATATAACAGCCATTCACGGTTGATAAATTCCCAATTGTGTAATTCGCGTCCAAAGCAAGATTTTGATAAGTACCTTTTTTGTTCACAACAAAAGTTCACAACTTGACCTTTCTGAATTCTTGAAGCTCCCATCATTGTTCTGGCACATGGATAGGTATCCAAAATACTCGAGATTCCTGGGATAACTTAAGCTACAATGCTGAATCAGGTTCTTAATGTGTTTTTGTTTTTGTTGTAGTGTTAGAATAAGTTTGATTATGGCTCTTGTTCTGGTTTCTGTTCTTGCTCCTGTTCTATTTCCTGTTCTTGCACCTGTTCTGGTTCTTGTTCTAGCTTTTGCTCTGCTTCTTGTTCCAATTCTGGGTCTGAGTCTAATTTTGATAAGCTTCTTAACTTTTTATACAAAACAAAAATTGTTTTAATATAGTTTGATTAACTTAAACGTGGATTTCGAGTGATTTAGATAATACTTCGACCTTTTTTATTTCTCATTTTAAACTAACTTGGCTTAAAAGACAAAGTAAATTAACGTGACAGAGAGGTCCTTATATATGTGAATCAGTGACGAACTTAAAAATTATTGGTTACGGGTTGGATATTGAAATATTTTTGCATCACATTAGCGTCTCTTAAAAAAATAAAAGTCCTCCATTTCTAAGATATTTTAGAAATTTTAGATTCTGGGGGGTAGGGGTGGGTGGGAAAGGGTGCATAACCTCGCCTCTGAATGTGAATAAAATTACTGTTTAATAACTAAAGAATGATTTGAGTGCTTCTGATGACGATAAAGAAATTTTGACTATTGAAATAATAAACAACCAATCCAAAACATTTTATTAAAATCTAGTTATCGACCATCTGACGGCGTGAGCAAGAACTTGAGCATTTTTTTTAACAAAATATTTTTAAAAAAGATACTAAATACAACAAAAAGAGCTTCATTATTGGAAACCTAAATATGAAAAAAAAGAAGCTAAAATTACACAAAAAGATACATTTTGGGGCCCCTAAAAATTGGGGGCCTAGGCTGAAGCCTACCTTGCCTATGCGTTAAGATGGCTAAATGGATAAACAACTTATTACTAGCCATTTTCAAAGATCTTTTTACTTTTAAACTAATCAGTAAATATATTTTGAGAAAAAATAACTTTTTGAATGAACTTTTTCGTCAAACAAACTTTAATCAATTTTGAGTTACCTATCAAACGCCACACCGTTGGAATAAAATTGTTTTAGCAAATTTTAATTTTGAAGTAACTATTACTTCTTGCCTTTTTAAAAAAAAAAACAAAAAAAAAAAACATCATTCTTCGTTAGGTGATATATTGAGTTATTATTAGTAGTAAAAGTTAAAAAATATATTTATACATAGACATGTCTGCGTTTATAGAAGTTTATTCAAGGGCCCTGCGAAGCTTCGAGATTTCGAATCGAATCGAATCAAAAATATGATTCGAGATACAATTTTAAAATTTTAAAAAATCAAATCCTTACTTATTTTGTTTTTATTGTGGGTATTTTAGATATCTGCGCTTTGGCGCTATCAAAATAACGTTATTTATCCTTAAATACCTTTTTAATCAGTCATTAAAAAGGTTAACCAGCGCAAGAAGCATCAATAAAGAGATTATACAATTGCTTTATTTTATTTTATTTTATTTTGAAATATATATTATTAAATAAAAAATGTCTAAATTTAGACTTCAAAATGTTGATTCGAAACGTGATTCGGATAACGAATCAAGACCTGCTTTGATTTGAGATTCAATTTGAAACAAAAACTGCCGATTTGCATGGCCCTAGTTTATTCCTACTCATTTTATTCATTGCTCTTTTTATTTTATTTATTGCTCTTATACTTTTAACTATTTAATTTATATGTTGGTTTACACCTGTATAAAATTCTGATGAAAAGATCCTCTTGATTTTTCTTCAGATACATAGATTATTACTCAATATACTCAATAGATTATTTACCTCTATATGGTAATTAGCCGGAGAAGGATAAACCACAATACCAACAATATAGTAGCTAATTTCTATATAAAAGGTTAGTTTTCTTTTGCATGAAGGACGACAAAGAAAGTTGACGAAAGAGTGAAAGAAAAATTAAAAAAAACAGAAGGTTTAAAAAATTGCGAAATTTTCTTAGCGTCCGTTCAATTAATGAAGTTATCAAAATACAAAAAATTTATTAAATAAACTTTATTTATAGTTATTCAAAGTAGAAATTGTTTTTACATAAACTCAATCAGAATAAAAACTTTGATAAAGAGTATGTAAGTTGAAATAATGGATGTAAATTGTTAAAATATACAACTTTTTTTTAAAATTAGAACTTATGTAAAGATCATGACAAACTACGCTGAATTTAACAGTACAAATCCCATAAGGAGACATTACTTAAAGAAAAAGATGAAAAAGCTATGTGTAAAGAAAGTACATGCAAAAAAGTATTGAAAATCGCTGGTGGTTCCACAAAAGGTCTACATTCTCATTTACTGCCCCTACATAAACTTAAAGTAACGTCGAAATCTCAAGCACCAAGTTCATCCGCGGCAACTTCAACTTCGAAAGAATTAGAAGAAGAACCCTTAAATAAAAAACCAAAAATCACAAACTATTTTTCAACAACATCAAAAAATTAAGAAAGTCTCTCTGAAGTTTTTGCACGTATGGCAGCAAAAGATGGAATATGATTTAGTACAGTTTGTAATTCTATTAATAAACGAGCAGGATTAGTTGCACAAACCCAGCTTTTTATAGTTAAGACTATACAAATGCTCCAAAATCACGTAGTACTATCAAAAAAATGGTGTTAGACTATTACGTGCAGAATAAAAAATAAGTTATGAAGGAAATAATTGATGAAATATCAAGAGGCTCTAAACTTTTCTCAACGCTCAATGAGTGGACTTCTTTTGGAAACTGTAGATATATGAATATGAACGTCAACGAGTTGAAAAGTTATTAGAATTTTGGTTTAATTCGCATTTTAGGGTCTATGCTAGCAGAAAAGTCCGTTTCACTTCTAATTGAAAGACTTAGCAACTTTAAAATAAAACTTGAGGAACTTTTATAAACTTTTATATTGAACTTTTATAACACTTTTACCATCAGTCGTAATACCTATGACGATTTCATAGGTATTACAACTGATGGTGCAAGCGTTATAAAGAAACTTGGAAAAAATCTTAAAAATAAATCAACAATTATGCTTTTACCTTGTTTTACAGCTAGCAGTTATATCAGTTTTTTATTAAATGACGTCACTTGGAAGTTGATGAAAGTTTAGATGATAAGAGCGCTTCCTTTGCCAACTTAGAGAATAAAAATAATGAAGAACAAGATGATGATTATAATAGCATTTCTGAAGAGGAAGATTACATTCTAGATATAAAGGATTCGTTTTTAATTAATGAAACATCTGAAATTAAAATTAAGCAACAATTTATAGGACCCGTTATAACTAAAGTCAGGAAAGTTGTAAAAATGTTTAAAATGGTCCCTAAGCAAAAATGAAAACCATTTACAAAAGTACATAAAAGTTAAGTTTAGAAATGTCATTCATTAAAAAGGCATTTCTAGATTTAGAATTAGATTCCAACATTGATGATTTAATTAAGATGAACGAAAAAAAATAATATCTAATTTAGTAGTACTTTTGACTCCCGTTAAAGCAACTGTGGAAGCACTTTGTCGACGAGACGCAACTTTAATTTCAGCTGATATTACATTAGAGTTCATGTTGACAAAAAAAACACAACAACAATCTGAAATCGGAAAACAATTATATGATGCTTTGAATCACCGAATTAAAGAGAGAAAAACACTGTTAAGCAGCTTAGTTTATTATCTTCATAATGGTCAGAATACTTCATCAAAATGGTCAGAATACTTCATCAAAAATGCCAGAAGTTTTTGTACCAAATATTCAAAATAAAAAATATGATATACCTGGTAAAGCGTTTAAATTCGGCAAATATAATAACAACAGCAGACTTGACTAGTGACAGCGATGTTCAGTTGAACGAAACATTATCAAGCCACAAATGTGATAATAGCGTCAAAACCATTACCGAATAATTAAACGAAGTTAAGGAAAAAAAATTAGCAACAATACGAACACCACCTATAAGGGTAAAAAATGTCTCCTAAAATTCAAAAAGAAATGTTGTAATTTGAAAGTGGTAGCACAAGAGGTGATCACCTTCAAAAAACATATGATTATATACTTATGACATATGATTATATACGGCCAACAAATGTAAAGTCTGAACGAACATTTTCCGCCGCTGGGTTTTTATGTTTTTAATGATTGACGCTTTGTTTTTAATGATTGACGATTTTACGGTGGTACTTTAAAAAATATATACAACTAATGTATGATCATGCATATTTATATTATTTTTTATTTATTATTTTTATTTATACTGTATTACCCTTTAAAGTATTGTTTTATAATTTAAAATACTTAGGTTCGTTAGTTTTTAAAAGTTAACATTTTAGATTAGTTTTAATATAACAAAATTAAGTTAAAACATCAAACGTTTTAACTTAACTTTAGGTTCATTAATAAATTAAATATTTCAGTTATATTATGATTAAATTAATCATTTTTAAGTGTTTGATGAGTACTTAAAAAGTTTTTCTTAGGCTTCTCTTTCTACAGTTGCGTTTTTTTTCTATTCAATCTCGGGATTTTTTTGCCATCCCTAACTTTAAATAAAAGAGATATAAAGTACCTTTTTTTAAATCCGGCAAAAACACTATAATTCAGGGTTGCTATCAAATCAGGAAAATCAGGGAATTCAGGCAAAGTCAGGAAAAGTATATGATCAGGGAAAATCAGGGAAAAAAGATCAATTTTGTTAAAAGTCAGGGAAAATCAGGGAATTATTTAATTTTATACTATTTTATTTTAAGGTTTTAAATATTTTAAAGTAATAGTAATATTCATTTTTTATTAATATATTATTTTTTAGTAATATTCATTTTTTAGTAAACTTATTAAATAATTATAAAGCTAAAAAGATTATTCAAATATATTTGGTCATTATAAAAAAAAATAGTTTTTATTCTAGTCATTTATTTACAGTCACAAGCCAAAAAAAAGTTTATGCAAAACATTTTAT